AGTAGTTATACTCTATACCATTTTCAAAGACAGTAAATTCTAGAAATTATAGATTGAAATAAACTAGTTTGGGTTATAGAAAGGATGGTGTGTGAGCAGTTAGGAAATGACAGGGGTCCCCGGGGCCTGGACAAACCCCTTGGGCGTGTTGACAGGGCTGATTAATAAGGGGCTCCAGGCTGTCGCCGGAATAAGGGCAGGCCGGGCCGAATCTTGAGTTCACATAAATCCGGGTTGGAAAGCTAATGTATTAGAGGGAAGAATAATCCAAATTGTAAAGGACTTCAAAAAGCTGGAACCAAGGAGATAAAATGTACTGGGGAGACTTGTAAAGGCTTCTATGCAAGTTGTGAAAATTCATTTGCAACACATATAGTGAGCATCGTGTTCTTACTGGTGTATGAGGAGGACGTCAAACAATTCCCCGGTTCTGTGCTCAGCCTCATTTAATAAAGGACAGTATGAAATCACAGGTCTTTCATAGAGGAGAGGCCCACGAGAATTAATTAGAAATTTTGTCATCTCAGGAGAGGTTGAGAAAATGAGAGGATTCAGCCTGGAAAAGAGAAAGCAGACGCAAAGAAACAGACATGGCATCTCCATGGACATAGTCGGATGCTTTATAAATGTTTCCAGAAGGTGTTGGAGGCCTTGGAGGAACAGTGATGGGTTTCCTGCAGAACATGTAAGACACTCAGAGAGAGGTTTGAGTCCGAAGGGCTAGACAGACAATGTGGGACCAGCACGTGAAGGCTGGCACTGTGCTGAGAGGTCCCATTCGCCGGGAGGTCCCTTTGAGAGTTCCCAAGCATGGGTGTGACGCCGTAGAGGGTGTTTCCGGTCCATCACCCTTGCTGCAGTGTAGATGTCACTTAGAGCGCTGAGAGACTGAAGTTGGGGAGACGAGGGAGGGAACTGTTGATCAGTAAATGAGATTTGGACTAAGGAGACAGAACAAAGCAATGGTCCCATGGAGACAAGTTGAGGTGGGAGAGACCACCAGGCTTGATAGGCATGTCAACCCTGGGAATGAAGGTGGGGCACTATATGTGCAGTGGCATCATGGACCCCTTCCCTGGAGCACCAATGGCCTAGCTCATTTTAACGTCTGTCCAAGACACCAGGGAAGGGACTCAAACATTTATTAGGAGGATAATTTGAAAATTCTTTAATGTTCATAAGACTCCCTGATTCTGTGATTTTTTTAAATCTGTATTGTTGAGAGTATTACAGATGTCCCCCTTTACCACCCCCCATTACTCCCTTCCACCTACTTCCCACCCCAACCCAGGCCTTCACCAACCTATTATCCATGTCCAAAGATAGTGTATACACTGAGTGGCCAGATTATTATGACTGGCCAGATTATTATGACCACCCCATCAGTACTTCACTGACACTTCCAAAACTACTGAATATTAAAAACTTCCTAAGCAAATACTCTCAAGGTTTTATTATTATTATTATTTGCATAACTAATTCACTTCATTGTACTGATGGGGCGGTCATAATAATCTGGCCACTCAGTGTATATGCATATAAATTCTTTGGTTAATCTCTTCCCACCCACCCCCCACCCTTCTTCCTGCTGAGATTCTTCAGTCTGTTCTATGTTTCCATGCCTCTGTTTCTATTTTATTCAATAATTTATTCATTAGATGCCTTGTTCATTTATTTTGATTTTTTAGATTCAATTGTTGTATTTATTGACATTTTACTGTTCATATTTTTATCTCTTCTTGTTCTTGTTCTCTTGTTGTTGTTGTTGTTGTTGTTGTTGTTGTTGTTGTTCTTCTTCTTCTTCTTCTTCTTCTTCTTCTTCTTCTCCTTCTTCTTCTTCTTCTCCTTCTTCTCCTCCTCTTCCTCCTCCTCCTCTTCCTCCTCCTCCTCCCCCTCCCCCCCCTTCTTCTCCCTCTTCTTCTTAAAGAATACCCTTCAACATTTCATGTAATACTGGTTTGGTGGTGATGAACTCCTTTAGCTTTTCCTTTGTCCCAGATTCTCTTTGTACCCCTATACAGAGGTGTGTCCAAGATTCCATCATCTCTTTCCACTGTCCCCCTATGAACCCGAATAAGACCCTGAGCCTCATCTCAGCCCTGATATCTTTCCCAAACTTGATTTGAAATGTGCCTTGAACAGCTTCACCTAATGACCCCAACTTTCTATAATATGTTAAGTACTCTAGCTTATTTGAAGCCAAAGACCTCAGGCTCCACCCGAATTGCTGCTTCCATATCCTTCTAGACTCCTGTTCCTGTCCTTGTGTTACCTCACTTCCAGCCCTGGTCTTGCTGTCTCCCTGAACTTCCTACTGTTGCTCTGCACCCACACCCTCTATCTGCTGTGATGTCATCTACTCCCTGCCCCCTGCTCTCACTGCAGTCCTCTAAGCCTCTCACCTTTGCCAACCAGTCCTAGCCCCAGTCCCCCTTCTGAGCTCTCTGATGGCCTGTTTGTGCTCATTTATAGCAACCACCCCTACCCACACCACCTCTGCCCTCCTTCCACTTCTCCCCTTGGGACACTGAAAAGCTTCCAGATTATATTCAGTAGCACACAGTCACATCCCCTTTGTTACTTAATGTACTGCCCATTCCCAGTTCACAACCACCCTGGAAATGTCTCTGTCCTGTCCAACTGCCCAACTCCTTGCTGCCTGAGGAGCTCACAGTTCAAATGCACACTACCTCTGCATCATGGAGCACTCTTCCCATCTGAGTCTATACTCCCCCCAATATGGGAACAACCTGGCATCCTTGTCTCCTGTGACCATCTCCATCAGTCAGCTGGCATGTGGCATCTGCTCCTCTGTGTGTCCCTGGAGATATGACACATAGGATAGTGATGAAAAAGGAGTTTGAACCAACAGACGTTGTTTAGGACTTCCCGCTCGGCTACAGCTAATGACTGACCTTATCTGGGCCCCAGTTTCCTGGTTTCTGAATGAGGACGTGATTCCCGGCTGAGATTGATACAAGGGAACCCAAGCTAGCAGTCCTAAAGTAGCTGGCACAATCCAGATTCCCAGCACGTGCTCAACTGGGAGCCCAGCCCACCCTGTGCCCACTCTCTCAGAATATTGGGACATTCGCATGTGAAGGCAACTACCCAGACCCCTTCCCTGTGCTTACAACTCCACCAGAGCTTCTCATAGGTGAACTCATGGAAGAAGTGAATTCCCATTGTTATTTTTCTCACACTATCAGATGAAATCAGGAGGAGGACATAGTAGCTAAGACTTAAAGAGAAATAGGTGTGCTCTAAGATGATAAGCATGGGGAAGGGCAAATCAAAATGGCTTGGGCACCTACTCCTGTGGAGCAGCTTAACCTCAATGAAGATGCTGTGGACAAGGTAGAGCCCACCAGTATCTGAGGGAGCTCTGTTCTCACCTGTTGGGTACTGCAGTTCCTTAGCATATTGATATGAAACAAAACCCAGGAGGGGAAAAAACCGTGCTGACTGACCTCAGGAATAGAAAAAGAACGATGAACAAAATGAGGAAAGCAGGTCCCTTCTGAAGACCTTTGAGTCCGAGTTACCTTCCCATCGGAAGCTGAGGTACAATGTTTATGTCTTGGAAATGTTCCCTCTTTCTTAGAGTATTGAACCCGCCAGTGCGTGGTTGTTGCATAGAGCTAATTATTCCCAAGCTCTGGCATTTGCATATGTATATTTACTTTGCAAGTGTTAAATCATTCAGGAAGAGAAGAAACTCAGCGTGTTTACTTTGTCTGTGCAGATAAATATAAAGGCATGAGCTGGGGAACTAATGCTGCTTTGCTTTCTTTGCTTCACCATATGGGTGGGATAGAAGGGAGCTCTTTCCTTCCCAGACTGAAACCATCTGTGCACAAACGCAGGCCCAGGCAGGAGGGGGCAGTGGGAACTGGCATGGCTGACTTGAAGGACTGAGCTTTGGATCCTGGGGGTGCCAGCCCACGTGTGGCGATCCCTGTGACTGTCCTTACCTCCCAGCAATGGCATGCTGCTCCCCAGCATGAAAATGATTGCATTTAAATGTCAGCCCCTGAAAGATTAAAGATGATATAAAAATGCTCCAACATATGTATTTCTTCGCTGTACAGCCAGTCACACAGCTAAAGGCACTTCCAGAAAGTTCTGTTCAAGTAACACTATTAACATCAAGACTTTTTAGAAAGCAATGAAAGGAAAGCAAAAAGCCTTTGTCCTCTAAGAAAGGAAACATTCATTTTTACCAGGACAAAATGTGTAAAAAGTCCAAATTATATTTTAAGGACAATGAAAATGTCAAAGCAATGTCATAAAAAAAGTAGACTTGTTTTTTCTGCGTCATTGTTAGGCAGGAATTACTTTAATCAGGAGTGGTAAGAAGAGGTCTTGGTAAACAATGTCCTCAGAGGGAAAAAAAATAAAGAAAAAATGTTTTTTCTGAGTTTGAAATAAACAGCCAAATTTCCAGACAATGATAGGCCAATTACACAATTCTTTGTTCAACCTAAGGGACCCCCCAGCTCTATAGTAATGCCTTTTGTAAGTGACCTATGGTGCCTAAGCTATTTTATTTTGATATTTTGATAACAAAAATAATAGAATTTACATTGTATAAATGAATTACTTTCAAATTTTTAATTTTCTAACCAAAAATAAAGTTGGGTTTTTCTAAAAGTGGCAAATAAATGGGTTGTAATAAAGCTTTTAATAGGGGTCTGAGAAATTTTATGGCTCTAGGGTGTTATAGTATTATGTGCTTTTTGTAATGTAAAAACATATATATACATATAAACATATATATGAAAATATATATGTAATGTAAATATATATACATATATATATATATCCCATGTAGGAGAAATAAGGAATCCACTAACCTTGTGGTTATTAGTGGTGATATGAGTATACAATCACATTTCAAAATGTCTATTGTCACCTGACTGTAGAATATTTGTCATAAAAGCATAAGTGAATGTTCATGAGTTGTTAATCATGCACTAATGTCACCTTTCTTTCCCCAGATGCAAAGAGTTTAGCTGAAATGCTCATGAGGTAAGAATAAAACCTAGCATTCTGGATATCATATTTAAAAGAACAATTTACAGCTTGCCTTATGACTTTTTTAAATGACAGTCTAAAATCGATAAGATGTATTCTTTTTGACATATAATTTCTATTCTATGTACCAGAATATTCATGTATACCGAGTTGGGTATATGCATAGCAAATAGTATACTTTTACACGTGCCATAGGTATTCTCTTGCTGACCGGACTCAACCGATAGAATGTTCCCCATTGACCTGGGAATAGAAAAGCCACATTATAAGTGAGTGGCTTTGGTTTTACTCCCACCCAAATATGCCACCTTTGAGGTCAAGCCTTCTTCCTAACAGAGATAGCAAGAGAAGAGTTAAGAGCAAACCACAAACGGAAATTTGTGGTACCCGTGCTCTTCCAAGGCAACGGGCTGACCAGGGAAGATCCTCCCGACCCTCAGCTCCACGGCACCTTCAGCGCCCTGCACTAGAGCGCTCACCAACTTCTGCTGCAAATGTCGTTCGCATCCTGTCTTGGAGGTCATAGCCTAAGTCATCACCGGGTTGGCAGCACCCAGCACTTACTTGCCCCACTCAGTATTGAATGACTAGAGCTAGCTGAAAAAGTAAGGAAATGTTCACAACTATAGAAGATATCCCAATATTTGCATGTCAAATATTTTATATTATAATGATTAAATCAAAAGAATAGTCAGAGGCTAGGAACCAGGTAAGAAAAAATGTCAGGGACCCCACTGGTGAATTTGAGGTTGCCCTTGTGGGATGTCTCATGTAGGAAAGAAAGGCAATGGGGTATGGGGTCTCTTCCTACTGCCTACCCCACCACACTTAGCTTTAATTTTCTTCCCCTTCTTTACATTAAAAAATTAGTACATTTTTGTTATTCAGAAAGAGCCCATGCCCCAGATCACCAGGATCTTTGAAGACCTAAGGTAGAGGTGTGCTACCATTGGCCCATGGGTTATATTCCCACAGCCATCTCTGTTTGGCCACACCAAGTAGTAAAACAATGTGAGCTGTAGGTAAAGGATATGGAGGAATCAAGGATAACTCTGAAATATTTGGTGTGAGCAATCAGACGAATATTGGAAGTGTTTGCCAAGATTAGGAAGATAGATGCAAAGTATGGATTTTTTTTTTTTTTTGCAGGGTGGGGGCGAGGTGTGTTGATGAGAATGAAAAGACCTGTATGGGTCATGTTGAATTTGGGATGCTTTTTAAGCATCCAATGAAAGTGTCAGCTGGCTTGTAGCAAGAATCTGGAGCTGAGAAGAGAATTCAGAAATGCCAATGACTTATAAAGTATCTCCTTCATAGAAAACATCTAATCACATCAGACTAGATCAAACTGGCATGAGATCATGAAAATTTACACGAAAAGTCTTGAGTCCATGCTCTTGTGAAAATCGGCACTTGTTTGCTAAGCGAGTAGGAGGGCGTTTCTGTGGTCACATGGAGGCACCCAGACACATGTGCACTTGTGTTGAGCAAATCTGACAAAACATCTGGAAAACAAACAAGCCACCGTCATTTGATTTAAATAACTCATCTACTTAATAAATTGTATAATGTAGACTTAAAATATGAATTTATTGATGACATTTAGAAATCAAGAGATTTCACATTAAATTTTGGCTTTCTGACTTCTCTTGAAAATGCTCTGACACAGCCTAGTTGATAATGGCTGACTGGAGCTCCGTATGGTGCCCCTTTAAACTACGCAGCACTTCGACTCAGCACAGCAGGGCCCTGTCCCTATCCCCACTCCAGGCCACTTTACTGATCTGTATCCCAGCTGGGGTCCTGCAGCCCTCTCAGAGAGCTCCTGCCCGCTGCCTCCATCCAACCCCAAACCATAGGTCATGCCTCTGACCAAAGCCCGAGACACTGGAGTCTGTTTCCTGACACATTCAGCATGTGTTTAGTTCGGATGATTTGGTATTTTTTAGCTTCTCTGCTGCCCTAGAATGCAGCCCTCCCCTTTCTCATTAGCCCCAAGCAAGACATTAGAAAGCATCTTCTTCATTAATAGGGCAATTACTGTGGTTGAAAGACCACCTGTTGATGTGAGTAGGAATTAATAATGCTATTCCCAGTTGACTGTTGCCAACGTGAAAGTAGGAACATTAAAACTAGTAATTGCTCCCAATTGAGGTAGTTGAGGTAGTTTTCCTCCAAAGGGTGAAAGTGATTGGAAAGGAAGAGCGCTTCTAAGCTCCTCAAATATGTGGATTTCTGGGGGTTGATTTAGAGGTAAAAGCAATGCTTTCAATCATGCAGTCAGTTCAGTCTAAGTTAGGCAGGTTAACAGGCTAAGCAACAACAGACCTGTCACCTACCTGGTGAGTCTCCGGCCAACCTTATTTTGAATGTGACTGGGGAAGTCCAGGCAAGTGACATGCATTAGTACAGAGAAGGCCACAAAATTGCTGTCCCTGGTTTTTGCAGCTGCTTTCTTAGGAAGTTGAGGAGTTAGCAAGCTGGTGCAGTAAGAACATAGAACCACCAGTTTACATTCTAGGCCTGACTTTGCCACCAGTTGGCTTGGTGGTCTTGGATGTGTCATTTTCCTTCTCTGTGACCTACTTCCCTTGCCTAAAAAATACCCATTGGAAATCGTTCCTAGCTTTATCATTCTGTGATCTTGGTGAATGTAACATATATTTTCCAAACATGTCCCACAAAGAAAGTTCTGTGTATTTCAGTGGGATTAGCTCTCCCAGGGCCAGACAGGTACAGGCAGGACAAACATAGACAACCCCAGGGCTCCGGGGGCTCCCCCACATGGCACCATCTCCGGGCTGTGGGCTTCATGCTACTGGACACTCATCCCTCTCACCCAAGCCAATCACCCCATTGAAGGGGAGAAGAGACACCCCACCCACCATGCCCAGATGGGAAGGATTTCCAGTTTATATGATTAAGCAAAAAGAAGTTTTTGAAAACTACTTTTCTAAAAGGGGAGAGTGGCCTCCTTAAGGCACTACCCAATACATGATTATTGTCCAAGGACCAATGTTAGCAAGGGCTCATTGTAAACAGAGAAGGGTTCAAATTGAGAGTTTAAATTAGTTTAGCGTTTTTGATGTTCATATTTTTGTACACATTGTATAAATAACCCTCCCAGCTATTGTGATGGCATGATTCTGACAGCCTTAGTTCTTTTATACTTACAGATTGTTCCATATCAGATGGAGAGGGGGGTGATGTGCAGAGGTATTCATTAGTTTTTCCCACAGGCTTAAGGAAATAGTAAAACTTTAAAAAAGTTATAGCAACTGCAAGTAATTTATTGGCTAACCCTGAGAATGCCATCCACTATGGATTAGCATCAGCTCTGTCGTTTTAGTCAGACAACCGGATGGCAAATGGGCGGTGGAAGGTTATATTTCAATAATATCAAATATAGTTAGTATGATCCTATATTATATAAAAGAGGCAATTTTTGTTCTCATAATGAAAGCATTCAGAATCTTGTTTCAGGTCATAAATGAGGTTTCTTCAAATAGATTTTTTTTAAGGTTGGCTGCTGTTCTAATGACCAATTGTTATAATTTTAGAGAATCAGCCTTTATACAACAATAGGTTATAAAATATGACAGCAAAAATTAAAACAAAGAAACAATTTAGTCAGGACCTAATAACTCATTTAGAATGAGAATATTATTGTCCTTAAGCAAAGCTTCTGGGATTTGTCACTCAGCTCACACTGAACTCACGAAACAACGTGGTTTATCACTAACCTTCGACAAGTATTTATTGAGCACCTACTTTGGCCACATACTGTTCTAAGTTTTAGGAAGAATCTGGGAACAGAATAGATGAAAAATACCCCTTGTAGAGCTTATACTCCAGTGGGGAAGACAGATAATAGATAAGCCCATTAGATATATGCAAGGGAACATCCAGTGCTAAGGAGACCAGATCCAGCGGAGAATGGGGAGAGGAAGCCTGAGGAGTTCCCACACAGGGCCAACCCCGCTCCTTCTAAAAGAGCGAGGGAGGGAGCCAGCCCCGTGGGTACTAGGGTGAGGGTGGGGTGCAGAGGTTCTAAGTAAAGGCTCAGCAACTGCAAAGGGAGGGGGGGAGCAATCAGCCCTTGGCTCTCTAGGTTTATTGGACCTTTTTTTTTTTTTGCCTCTGGCTGCAGGGCTTTGAGGCAAAGGTCCTTGGAGGAGGCGTTTACCTCCAGCTCTGATTGTCCTACTTTGCAAAGTGTAATCATATTCTGAGCCTGTGTCACGGGCCATGAGGCAGCACAATCATGTAGCTGGCTTCCTGCGTCAGTCTGCCAGCGGACCCCTCGTTGCTAAGAACAGCCTTCCCCGGGTCCCTGGCTGGTTAACAGAGCAGCCGCGACTGCCTCATAACTATTCATGAGGAGCAGGGGGAAGTGGCTCACTCTTCTATTTCTGGTACAAGGACAAGCTCAAGTCCCTAGAGAACTTTCTAAACAGGTCCTTCCGGCATTCACCAGGGAGTAGTTCCCATATGTTTTTGGGGAAGTAGAGCTTGTCGAAGCATGATGTAACCACAGCCCAGGTCACTGAAATGCTCTTCGTTTCATATGAGTATTTGGATCTTTGTTTTAAAAAACACACCCACACACAAAGTGAGAACAAAGTTAGGTAACTAAAAGAGGATACAGACCTTGTGAAGAATTCAGGCCAACACGTTTGAATCTGGGCTCTGGGTAATTAGCGTAATCTAGCTACATGACCCAGTTGCTCATCTGTGGAGCAGGAAATCTGGTTCAAGGTCAAGTCCTGGGGAGGAATGATGCACCCCGCAGAAGAGGGCAGTTTTGTTTACACACAAGTGGAAAAACAAGGGCCATTATAAAATATTCAGGATATTAACCTGGACTTCCCTATGCAGAGGTCTAATGGCCTCTCGAGTGACCTTGACCTTCACAGGATTAGCATTCCTTCAGCCACAAGGTTCAAGAGTAGACAAGAGTTCTCGGGGGCAAGGAGGGATCTGGGACTCCTGGTGAATGCTTGGTCAGAGGAAAAAGCACTGAGATGTAAGAGGGACACCCCCTTTATCCTCCATGAACTGTCACTAAGTCATCATTTAGGCTCCGGAAAGCTGTCTCAGAACAGATCTTGACAATTATCAGTTGAATTTGTGGATTACCACATTGATTGAAACCTCTGAATGACAGCTGCCTCTCAGAGGGTGTTCCAGTAAGTGAGGATTATTTTCAAAATCTGCCCGATCCTTACAATTCTGTAAAGACGGAGCGCAGCTCTCCAGTGCAGATGGCTAATTAAAGCCTTTCTCCTCTTTTTGTGTTTTTGTGTAACATGCAGACTTTTTTTTTTACTCCAGGCTGTAACTGACTGCGGTTATCACATGCCGTTTACTACCTGTTTTCATTTGTGACCATCAGACAGCTCACTCCAAGAGTAATTTTCCGGCACACAAATTTTGAGATAGAGTTCTTATAGTAATGGCGGGGTTTTTTTCTATTCTAACATGCAATACCTATTGGGAACACTGAGCGGATGTCAGGGGAGCTAACAAGGTTGATGCTTTGTTACCAGAACAAAAATAAAACCCCACCAGCTACCACTACAAATCCGTTAGTCAGACCCCCTCCGATGAACAGCTGGTCCCACACCTCCTCCCTGGCCATCAGCAGGCTAATTCCTACCTGACCAATAAAAGTGTTGTTGGTTTAAAATCGCTCTTTCCCCCACTGAACTTTTACACAAGAAATGGGAAGTTACAAAAGTTCTATTGATAGATACGGACTCAAGCTCCATTGGCAATTTGTATTTTCTGAACCTCGACACTGACTGCTGAAATGCACTATGAACAAACACACTTTGAATAAAGGGAAAATTTTCCTGCCATGTTCTCCCCGCTCCTCCCCACAAGGCAGTCGCATCATTAGGTAGGAAGCCAAGGTGGTGCGCAAGCACAGGCGGGTGTGATGTACCACTGGGCTGTGTGTGTTCATGCCTCCCTCCTACTTTCTTCCCAGCAAGAACACCCGGACCTCGGACACCCTGAGCAAGCAGCAGCAGACCCTGAGGATGCACATTGACATACCCAGAGCCCAGCTTCTGATTGAAGAGAGAGACACGATGGAGACCATCGGTAAGGGGCCACGCTGGCCGCTCTGCACCACGTGGCTGCCACAGTCACACCCTCTCGGCCCACCCAATGGGGTGTGGGAAGTAGCAGATATGAGAGCATCTTGAATGCTGCCTGAACAAAGAAGTAGGAAGCTAGAGAACTGTTACTGAGGAGAATAATAAGTGCCAGCAAATGTCGGGGGAAATGAACGTGTATCCACCTCAGAGGTTGCCCGAGATCGGAGTTCCCCAACTCTGATCCACGTCGGGCCTCCCCTGGAGAGGATGTAGAACAAACACCTGTGATCAAACAACCCTAGAAGGGCGCACACTTGGAAGCCCACCCTGTCCCCTCCCCATCAGCTCCGCCAAGGCCTCCATTAGCGGGAACATCGCAACTCTACTGAACACCTAACAGACAAACGTCTATGCTAGGGCTCTTCCCCCACCTCCAGCACCTACACACAGTCTCCGTGTCTTCCCAGTGCTTTGGGGGTCACAGTTCCCTTGTCCCACGATGGCAAGACACCTGGAAGGCTTTGGGGACTTGTGTGCCCGGGACCCAGGTGTCTTGACTCCTTCCCTCCTCTTTCCACTCCAAGTCCACCACCCACACTGCCTGCCCAGGTAGTTCCATTTGCTCCAGAATCCGAGACTTCGTATTTTCATGCAGTAATGACCGGAAGAATAGGTCGCATTTATTGAGAGCTTTCTACATGCCATGTACTTGTCTACGCACTTTTTAAAAATTCTTTTTTATTTATTTTATTTTTTATTGTTGAAAGTATTACAGATGTCCCCCTGTCTTCCCCATCAGTCCCTTCTAGCCTGCACCCGCCCTGCCCCAGGCCTTCACCACACTATTGTGTGCCCTTGGGTTATGCATATATGCATACAAGTTCTTTATGTGCATTATTTAATCTAACCCTCCTAACCCACATAGGGAAAAGGTACAACTGAGTAACCAGGACTTAGAGAGGTCACGTAGCTTTCAAGGTCACGTAGCTTTCAAGGTCACACAGATGGTTGGGAGCAGAAGCTGGGTGGGGCCCCTGCCAGCTGCCTGCTTCCATATCAGCAGGCTACTTCCCAGAACCCCTCGCCTCAGAAGTATCACCCAGCTTCCCAGTACCCATGGAAACAGACTCCAGGGCAGGTTGCCAAGGCTGCCTCTGTTTGTTCTGGAAAGTGTTTGCTGGCACTCGGTCCCAGGGCAACCCTTTCCTGTGGCTTGGCTGAAACTACTTACCTCCCGGCATGTACCCTAGATCCTGCCAGGAAGGCAGTGGTAAATGGCCAGGTGGGCAGGACACCTGCATCGCCCCTCGCCCTGCCCTGCTTTATGTTCTAATAGAACAGCGGAGACCTCTTGACCTAATGGCTTATACATTCTGAGGCCCTGGGTGCATGTTTTGTCTGGGTGTGCCAGCACTTAGAGAGGGTCGGTCAAGTCCAATTTGACTTTCCATCAACCAAGTTCAGTTAAAAGGCACCCATGTTGTGTGAGGGGGCATCCTGCAGTACACGAGATTTCATTAGCTCACTCTCAACAGGATAAGGCACCATGTTTTGTTTGTTGATAATCTTTTCTTTTCAGTGGTATATCTGAAATATTTTTATTTATTCATTGATTGATTTTAGAGAGAGAGAGGAAGGGAATGAGGGAGAGAGAGAGAGACAAAGAGAGACAGAGAGAGAAATATCGAGTTGTTGTTCACTTATTTATTCACTCATTGGTTGAATCTTATATGTTACCAGACCAGAGATCAAACCCACAACCTTGGTGTATTGGGACGATGCTCTACCCAACTGAGCTACCGGCCAGAGCTGGTATCTTTTTCATTAAATTCAATAGCCGGGACATTAAAACTAAAATTTATTTTGAAATATCAGTTCAAAAATCAAAATATAATCCCTTTGGCCTTATAGTTAGGGTATCTGCTACCTGTTCCGCACTAGAGTGTTGAGCATTCCACCGAAGGCTGTTAGAAGCTGGGCGGAGCCTGGGAGAGCATCATCTCCCAGTAGCCAATCACTGGCCCAAACCAGAGACAGAGCTGCCATAGTCATTTCAGTAGATGCATCCCATTCCTCGCAGGCTCATCTGTCACCAGAGTCACTTCCCTCCTGGCGACGCTGACAGCGGTCGATGGCATTTTCTAATTACTGGGGAAGTAGAAATACGATGCTTTCAAACGCTCTGGGCTCAGACTACAAGAATCCAATATGAAAGTGCCATTTATTTCTGCCTGGAATGAATGGTAAACCTCAAACACTGACAGGCACCGGAATTTTCCCATTAGAAGTTTGTAACCTGGCCCCGCACATACCCTGGTCGGCTCCTAGCCGGCAGCATGTTGGAAACCACAAGGCATCCGTATTGTTCATGAAACATGCATGCAGATGCCAGGGCTGATGCCGGCTCCAGCGGCGAGGAGCCGTCTCTAGAAAGGCCGCCTATCCGAGGGGCCAGTGAAGGCTGCGGGGCCAGGCCCCAAGCCCAGCCCTGCCCCTGCTGAGGACCAAGCTCCCTGTGCCACACGCTGCGATGCCAGCAGACACCTTGGCAGTCTTCCTGCGCTTTCTCTGCCAAGAAATTTTATTCCGACTTCAAGAGGCTTTCCTTTCCTGCCAGAACCTGAGTAATTGGATTTTGTAAGGTTCGTTCTGTTCAGAGCCTTTTTTGGGCACAGAAGTCTCGCTGTGCTGTTTGTGACTTTCACATTCCCACTCCCCGTCGAGGCACGCCGTAGCCTGGTCCCCGCTGACTGATCGCTCACACGAGCTCCATCCCAGGCTGCGGTCCCTGAAAATTCCTGACAAATCCGTATATCCTCCCCAAAGCTCCCCTTGGAGTAAGGATGCTCTTAAGAAAGTGTGGAAAGTCTCAAAGTGAAGTAATGAAAATCTCGAGACAACCTAATCATGACACGCAGCTCAACCAGCTGCTGCTCCAAGCACTGAAATGCCCCCCATTCATCTGAGCCCAGGCTCCTGCTTCAGGAACCCACATGTCCCCACACCAGTAGGACTAGGAGACTCTGACAAGCGAGTCATTTTGAGAAGTCAACTAAGGCATGTGCTAGAGTCACTGGAGCACAGAAGAGGTGAGAAGAAAAGGAACATTCCTCAAAACCATTAAATTAAAAGAGAGGAATCCTAAACTCTGAAGACTGTTTCTCTTCTCCCCCCCATCCCCACCCCCAAACATTTGCAAGTTCAGTGTGACCTCCCCGGGATAGACCCTGCAGTGGAATTTTTCTAGTGCTCAGAGCTTCCTCCAGATGGCAGCCCGAAGCTGGGTGGGGCCCACCTCGCTGGTGCTGTCCCAGGTGAGCTTTTGACAGACACATCCATCCCAAACTCTATCAAACAGGAAGCTGCAGCAAACCCGCCCCCAAATCAGTGCTTCCTAATAAAAAGACCAGGCCCCAGGGAGTGGAGCAACCCTTCTCTGAGGTCATGTGCTTTCATTTATGCTCCCAAAGGAACCCCTAGGGATAGTCTACTTTTAGAATTCTTGACCAGTTCTAACGCAGACCTTCCATTTTTTGTTGTCTTTGTTGCTTTAGATGAGGTTGTTGTTGTGGTGGTTAAGAAAAGGCCAAGGAGTCATATACAGGGGATAAACATTTGGCTCTGTGTCCCTGCTGTTCCCTAGATGACCGCTCCACGGTGCTGCTGACAGATGCTGACTTTGGGGAGGCCGCAAAGCAGAAGTCCCTGACGGTGACCCACACGGTCCATTACCAATCGGTGTCGCAGGCCACCGGGCCCCTAGTGGATGTGTCAGATGCTCGGCCAGGAACGAGTGAGTGATCCAACAGCACTTAAATGGTGTGGGTGTTATCGATGCTGACAGTGTGTTACCTGCTCCGTCCCTGTCAAAGGAAAATGGGGGAAGGGTGGCCAGCCCTAGGCCTAAGAAACCAATAGGGATGACAGCATCATTAATTGGGATGTTGAAGTTTTATTGCTTGATCTAGGCTGTTATTAAACTGTGTCAGTTGTAGCCAATAACTCTTGGTACTGGTTTACTATGAAAGTACTCGAAATTTCAGGTCAAATTCATTTGTTACATTTAGGCAACACGGGAAAAGAGAAAAGTAATTAATATGAGTGTGTATCTTCTGCGCCAGGACTGGGAGAGAGAGACGATAGCATATCTGTTATCTTTGCAACAGCCCTGCAAGGGAACAACTTATCCAGTACATGGTATAGCCCCTATTTTACAGAGAGAAAACTGAGTCTCAGCGGAGTTAGGTGAACAGCCCAAAGCTGTCAGTCTCTCTGCCTGTCCTCGAAGCTCATGATTTTGTCCTGAACACACTGTTTGAGAAAAAATAGAATTCTGGTGAGTCTGGGAATCATATTCAATTTTGCTCTCAATATTTGCATATGTGATATATGGAAATTAATTACTGCAATGAAATTAAATCCCCTAATAGGTGTCTAGAGCTTATTGAGATATTCTTGTTCCTTCATAATTGAAATTGTTTCTAAATCTCTTTAAAGGCTGAGAAATTGATTTCCCGATTATTATCTTTTGGGAAGCTTTGATGTCTAGCTTTTAAACCTCTAATCACTCTCTTTGCAAAAATTTATATCCTTAGAGTGTTATAATTAGAAAAATAAATATTAGAGTGTTAAAAGCTATTCTCCATAATTTCTGACTTGTCAAGCATTTGTGGAATGCCCTGAGCTTCATGGAGCTAACTGGTCGACCCCTAAGCAGCAGTGTAATATGCAGGAAAACAATGTTAACCCTCAGTGACATTCACTGGAAAACTGGGTTTCCAGCCCATGCTTCAGAGGTGGTGAGGATGAACTGAAGAAATGGCTGGCCCGGTCCTGCAGGGGCTCTCGGCCAGCATCACACATTGCTTTTCCCTCTAAGCCTGGGGGTTCCACCTGAGGGTCATGCCCCATGCAACAACCACAGCTGACAGAGCCACACTTCTTCCATCTGCGAGGAAGGCACTAAATAATGTCGACAAACATTAGGCAAACCTACTCAAATGCATGCGTCCATCTCTAGTTCCGAACAAAAGGAGAGTCATCCATTCAGCATCTGCAGAACAGTCTCTAGTAGTGAAAGATCTTTGGGGTCATTTTTCATTAAATATGCTCTCCTAACCACACCCTGAGGGAGGGACTAAGTGCATTCATTTTTATTTAGAAGTAGAGCCAGTGGCTGCCCCCGCTCCCTGGAGAATTACCCCAGGAACCTGAACCGGGCACTTCCTAAAGCCCAGTTCTCTGGTTGCCTCTTGTACCACGGAGCCTGTCACCGCTGCCAGGGCTGACACCTGTGTCACGTCAGGCCCCTAGAGCAGGTCCTCACTGCTGCCTGGCATATTTGCCGAGGTTAACTGATAGTCCATTTCCTCAATGACAAGGGACCTTGTTGTTCCAATCTAGTTACTGTAGGACTGTGTTGTCATTGTAGGAAATCCTTATTTTTAAGAAGAGTGTCTAAAATAAGTTGTTTGCACACTAGAATGTGACAGCATCCTGGATGCTGTGTCTCTAAGCATTTTCTATTTGCCAAAGAGTTGCCACAAATTCTTATTACGAGGATTAGAGACATCGCACAATGTGCCGTCTATCTCTTTCAACCTGTGAAACACAGGCCTTGGCTGTGTCCATACCCTGTTCCCTTCCCTGTCTGTCATGTGGGTAGGATGCACCAAAAGCTGGGACTCCATTCCTGTCAGCTTCCCCAACTCATCACAAGCACTGCACGCAGTAGGAGTCCAGTAAATATATAGAAACTAGAGGCCCGGTGCACGAATTCGTGCACCACTGGGGTCCCTCGGCCTGGCCTGGGGGATCGGGTCCAAACCAGTTCTCCAACATCCTCCCAGGGGTCCCAGATTGCAAGAGGGCACAGACCAGGCCGAGGGACCCCACCCGTGCACGTTTAGGGCCAGGGAGGGACGCAGGAGGTTGGCCAGCTGGGGTGGGACCGCAGGAGGGCTCCAGGGAGTGTCCAGCCCATCTCGCTAGTCCCAATTCCGCCAGACCCCAGCCCATCTCGCTAGTCCCAATTCGGAGCGTCTTCCCCCTGGTGGTTAGTTCACATCATAGCGAGCAGTTGAGTGGCCTTAGCATATCATTAGCATATTATGCTTTGATTGGTTGAACGGATGACCGGACAACTGGACACTTAGCATATTAGGCTTTTATTATATAGGATGCTGACCGACTGTACTGTCAAGCTCTGAAACCAGAGTAGAGGGGATAGAAAAGAACTCACGGTTAGCATTTTAAACAGGACTTGGGCAATCTGCTCTTTCCCTCTCTGTTGCCCATTTCCTGAGACACTGTATCTCCTCCCCCAGTGGGAAGGGTTCCTTTTAATATGTACACAGTCCCCCCAGCACACTTTGCAGACTCTCACCAATTAGACTATTACCATCATCTATTTTACTTACAAAATGTGCAAGGTTACAAACACATGTGAAGTGGTAAACACTAGATTTGACCTGGGGTTTGTTTTGTTTTGTTTTGTCATATTTACCTGGAAGTCATCCACTCAGTCACCACTCATTCATTTGTGCAAAGAGCATCTACGCAGCACCTGATGTGCGCGGGGCTGGACTGAGAAATGCACCAGCCGCAGCTCCTGTCCTACCAGCACTACTGATGAGCTTCTTTCTGCACCACAGAAAACATTTCTTCAAAATGTTTTTATTGATTTTTTAGAGAGAAAGAAAGGGAGAGAGAAAAATAGAAACATTGATGAGAGAGAAGCATCATCAATCGGCTGCCTACTGCACGCCCTCCACAGGGGATCAAGCCTGCAACCCAGGCATGTGCTCTGACTGGGAATCAAACCGGCAGCCTCTTGGTTCCTGGGTCAATGCTCAACCACTGAGCTACACCGGCCGGGCTTGTTTGATGATTTTTAATGGGTATTTTCTCTGTCAAACCCTCTAAATTGAGTTTCTAGCCATCCTGGATCAGCCTACCAAATGTCCTGCTAGCATCTTCCCATTAGACAGGGCGTGCTCCATCCCTTGCCTGGTGCTTGTCACTCAGGAATCATGGGCTGGGCCTTGAGATTTGCTGAGCCCTCCCTTGTGCCCACAGCTTCATCTCTCCACGTCTCACAGAGGCTCTGCAGGTGGGTGATGTTGCCCCAGACCTCAGAGGCGAGGGGCGTGGGCACATCCGATGAGCTCACAGCCAGCCAGTAGCGAAGCGGGAGTTAGGGCACCTAGCTCCAAAGCGCCCACTCTCAACCCCCTGTGTTGCCTTTAAGTAGAGATGATGCTCCTAACAGGACATCCAGGGAGCCCGTAAATTCCAATATCTGTTCAGTAGGAAGAGTTTACAACATGGATTGGATCTTTTTTGTTGAGACTTTGAAAGAACGCACACTCCATCACCCAGAGTGGTACTGGACACAGCACTGCGGAGAAATTATATTGGGCGAGGAGCATCGTGTATATAATCCCGTGAGGAATGTTGGTTTATTGAGTGACAGGAGTAGCCAGTCCTGCCAGTTTCATCTTCTCTCTGAGACCACTGGGAAATTCCTCACGAAAAACTGCAGCCTGGACACCTATAATATCAGGGAATAAAAACAGGTTAATACCATGATCACGGCACCCATGACATGTTTTATGACCCCATTATCCACAAAATCCTCTCATCCCAAATTCAGGATCATGAAAATCACTTGATTCCATGGGCAGGAGCTTAATGCAGGTTCAGAGCCGATGCTGAGAGGCCAAGAATTATGTATGTCACTACCCTCTCATTCATTAGCCACCTAGCAGGCATGAGGCGCATCGCTAAGTTGTATTTATATTACAACGTTGGGGAGTCACATAAAAGGCTTTCCATGCAGGAGCAGTGAATTCCAACACGCGTTAGGTCAGTAGATGAGCTAGTGAAATAGACAAAGGAAGCTACCGTGTGGGATCCAAGTAAAATTTTGACTTTCGCTGCTGTCTTAGGCGCTGTCATAGAGAAGAGTTCAGTTCAAGCACACAGCAGCTCCAAAAACCTGATTATGACAAAAATGTGTCAACTACCCCCGCATGCTATAGATTAAGACACGTTTGCCCAGAGCAGAACGGAACTGCTGGCTGCGGTTCAGGAAAGTAATATCATGACCTATATTCCCAACATTATCAGGCCACGGCCCGGCTGTCCTGGTCTAGAGAAAAGGGGGGAAAAATCAAATTACCTTGAGAAGAGCTGGAGCTTTGACTAGAAGCTGACAAGTGCTTCCTGCCCATGGAACCCTCTACATGGGGGATGTCAGTGAGCAAGGGGGGCTGAGGGAGTGAGGGTCTCGGCCCCACCACGTGTGGGTGGGCTTGATGGAGAGAACGCAGGCGAGGGTTTTGGGGAGTTGGAGGAAATTGTGTCCTTGAAATGGGACTATCCAGCTGACCCCTCCCCCACAAGCATCCATACCAGGTATAAACCTGGCCCACAGCCTTAGCAGTTGCAAGAAACTTGAAGAAGAATAAAAATGAGAACCCTCAGCATGTATGTAAGGAACTGGGTGATTTTCTGGAAGAGACTCATTAGCATTTAAATAACAAGCTCCCTTCTCAAATCCTCGTGCCTGGAGGACATTTCGCCTCCCACCCATGAGAATGTGCCTCTCTCTCAGGGAACCTCTCTCCTGGCATTTCCGTGGAGAAACACTCATCATTCCTACCTGGCTGTCTAGAGAGCTCGGCGCTCGGCCATCGCTCGCATTCTAATCAAGGCAAAAAAAAGTCTCCCAATTAAAGTCTTCCGTGAAATTGTGCAAGTACAGGAAGAAATGTGTCTTAAAATCAATGCCCCGGAGAATAGGCACCAAGACAGAGCATATTAATGACCTGGGAAGCCTTAAATTCTATTGATTTGGCTGCCATCTCAGTGCTTCTCTCCGGCGCTGTGGAATGATGGATTAGGTCCCAAGTCCAGTAACAAGAAACTTGCAGAGGAAAACCCTCCATTTCAAAAGCAAGTCATTTCCCCGCTTTCAGGGTCGGCCTGCCGTGACCCAACATGGAATTATAGACGAGGCCGTGCCCAGGGGACAGCGCATCAGAGCACTTAGCTGTGCAGGGCGAGGACGTGTGTGGTTGAGTGATGGGCGACCTCTGGACTGAAGGTCAAGTGTTGGGCTCCATGTTCATCACTTAATAACCGGGTCGCTTCTCTCTGAGCTTCCATCGCTTCATCCATAAAGTGACTGCTTAGAGTTCCTCTTTGAGAAGCAGAGAACGTAAAGGTGGAAGCCGCCCATGTGGCATCTTCTGCTGCCTTAGGCCGGAGCCCAGAAAAATCCTTACAGGCACCTGAGCCCCTCTGCTTTCCACAGGCTTCCAGAAGGGAGATGCGTGTCCACCCCAGTGCCCAGCAGTCTGTGCTGTTAGGACAGCTTTTCCTTCGCTCACTGGAGAGTTGAGCAAGGAACTTGGTCCCCCTTCCCCCCTCTACCCTCCCCTGACCTGTTGATTTTGGTTCTGGATTTAGAGAAAGTGTAACCTGTGTGGCAACAGCCTGTGTGGACACAGCCCCTGTGCTTTGGGAGCTGGTGGACAGTGACATCCAGACACTCATTAACTGGTCTCCACCGTGAATATCCAAATCTGCATCAAAGTTCAGACAGTTTCACTGAGTTAAGCTCCCATGTGCAAAGGCCTAAGAGAGCATTAGGACAAAAGGGCATCGTCCCTCTGCTCTGGGAACATGCAATTTAATGAATGAATACAACAGTCTTACTCCAGTCGATACAAGAACACGGTATATGAGAGACGCCCGGATTAGTTGTCTGGGGCGACTGCAACAATGGACCACAAACTCAGTGACTTAGAACAGAAACTAGTCTCATAGTTCTGGAGGCCAGAAGTCCAAGATCAAGGGTCATTCCCCCTCTGACACCTGTAAGGGTGGATCCTTCCCTGGCCTCCTCCTAGTTTCTGAAGGTTGCTGACAATCTTTGACGTTCCTTGGCCTACGGCTACGTCACTGCAGTCTCTGCCTTCCCATCCCATAACCTGCTCCCTGCCCTGTCTGTCTCTTCTTATACGGACACCAGGCATGTTGGACCAGGGGCCCGCCCTCCTCTGGTGTGACCTCATCCTAACTAATTACATCTCTCTGCAGTGACCCGTTTCCAGATTAGATCACATTCTGAGGTCCTGGGAATTAGGATGTGGACACACCTTTTAGGGAGACATAATTCAACCTATAACAACACGTCACGGGAGGAGGACTGTAGAAAGGAAGCCGAGTTAGAGCGCATTGGCCGAGCTCCTTGTGTTACGGAAGACGGGGAGTCTCGGGAAGTTTATTAAGTGACATGCATCGGGCCATGAAACTATTCAGAGCCGGAAGCATGGTTCTGATCCGTAACAGCTGAGTCCAGTTCTAATGTCCTTCCCCTTACAGAGCTCCTTTAAATGCTTCAGAATCACATGAATGTCTCCGACCATGGGAGGAAGGAAATGCGTGCTCAGGGCAGGGATAGTCACGGAGGGCTTCCTGGAGGCAGGAGCCTGCAGGGAGGGTCATAGGGCTGGGTCGGGAGCACAGCACTCAACACCTTTATCACAGCTGACCACACGCCTCCAGCGACCGAGACAGACATTGTTCTTGACTCTTCGCAGATCCCACCACCAGGAGGAACGCCAAGGCTGGGCCCACAGCGAGAAACCGGTACGCCAGCCAGTGGACCCTCAACAGACCCCACCCCACCATTTCAACACACACCCTCACCACCGACTGGAGGCTGCCCACGCCCAGGGCCGCAGGATCGATGGACAAGGAGAGTGACAGTTACAGCGTCAGCCCCTCACAGGACACAGGTAGGGTCTCCACACCTCCTCCCCACACCGGGGATGAGCCCGCCCACACCAAGGGCTTTGCAGGCTCCTATGTACATACGTTTGTACGTATTCCCTTTCAAGGTCACTTTCAAATGGGAACGTGCGGGCATTTGTCTAACAGACACCAGTGTGGTGCACAGCAGGGCGCCCTCCAGGCCAGTGACTTCTGCACACAGAACCAGGAGGCAGCATTCTGCAGGTGCCCCGAGTCTCAGCTCAGGCTGAGTTCTCCTTCTCATTCCCACCCGCTGGCAGACACAGACATGTTCACATGTTCACCCACACAAGGGCAATCATTTCTGGTTGTGCTGGGAGGGCATCTGACCCGCTACCTTCTCCAGGATGAAGATGCTGCACTTGGAGCTAAGTGACAAGGTCGGAGCACCTCTAGGGTGCCCCGCTTGACAATTAAGCAGGGCTTGATTATAAGGTAGGTTATCTTGTCTGTGCCATCAACCACCCAGATTTCACTTCGGAGAGAAGACAGGCCCTAAAAATAGCACTGGGCTGCCTACCCCCCTCCCATCTTAAATTTTGCAAAGAATTCTATCTAAACCTAATCGCTGTGGGGAATTTTAACACTCATTTTCTTTTGTTCTGGAAAATATTCTGCAAAAATAGTGTTTCCAAGGCGGAGTGTCACCTTGTACCTTTATTTTTATGGCTGTTAGTTCTCTTACAAGACTCTCAGAGTTCCCCAGAGGCGACTTCAAAACTTTGACACTCGGGGGCTTGAAATGCAGAGATTCCTCCAATCAGCTGCACCCTTTCAGGCCTGGCAAGGTTCCTGTCCCCACCCAGGGTGGCAGCCGCAAAGAATGAGTCCCAGGGGCAGGGGGCCATTCTGCCTAGTGGCCAGTTTCTGTGCTTAGTCACGGCTTGGTTTCTAACCCTCATCACGTCTCCCTGACATGACCAAGCCACGCCCAGGCTGGAGACGCTGAGCTGCGGAGCTTGTCCTTCCCGTCCATCAGGGTCTCTATGGTACAGAGCCATTTGCAAATCCAAGTAGGGAGGGCAGGTCATTTAGGCACATTCCCAAAAATTCTGTTTGAATGGAAAGCAGGATTTTTAAAAAATATATCTTTATTGATTTCAGAGAGGAAGGGAGAGGGAGAGAGAGATAGAAACATCAATGATGAGAGAGAATCATTGATCAGCTGTCTCCTGCACACCCTCTACTGGGGATCGAGCCCGCAACCTGGGCATATGCCCTTGGCCAGAACGAACCTGGGACCCTTCAGTCTGCAGGCTGATGCTGTATCCACTGAGCCAAACTGGCTAGGGCGAAAAGCAGAATTTTTAAAGGGGGACGCTTTACTGATTTATGGAAATGCCCCAGGCTGGGGTATCTGACTACAGTGATGCCCTACCCCCACCCCACCATTGGAAACACAGTGTCCTGAGCCCACTTTGCGGAGGCTTCTGAAGTGGCCTCCGGGTGACAAAGGCAGTCCTCAAAGACCCCGGACTCCTGCTGCGTGGTCCTGTGACCTGGGAGAAATCGCCCCAAGCCGGAGAGGGTGGTCAGTCTGTGCACACAGAGTGGTCATTCCCCCACCTTGCTTCTCTGCTTCCCGGTGCAGATCGAGCTCGGAGCAGCATGGTCTCCACTGAAAGTGCCTCCTCCACCTACGAAGAGCTGGCCCGGGCCTACGAGCACGCCAAGATGGAGGAGCAGCTGAGGCACGCCAAGTTCACCATCACCGAGTGCTTCATCTCGGACACATCATCCGAACAGTTGACGGCAGGGACAAATGAGTACACAGACAGTCTGACCTCCAGCACCCCTTCAGAGTCGGGGATCTGCAGGTTCACTGCGTCTCCCCCCAAACCTCAGGATGGAGGGCGAGTGATGAACATGGCGGTTCCGAAGGCACATCGGCCAGGTGAGCAGGAAATGCGCGCACCGTTGTGTAGGGAAGCTCCCGCCCCGATGCACACCTGTCTACCCTGAGAGCCCGCTTGGGGTTTAGAATGCTGTTCTGTTTATTGACTGCTGCGTAGTGAACCACGCCAAAGCTGTTGGCTTACAACAGCAATCACTTATTTTGTTAATGAGTTTGAAATTTGCGCGGTGCTGCGTGGAGACAGCTCAGCTCTGCTCCAGCAGGTCAGACAGGAGGCTCAATTAGGGCTGGAGGAGCCACCTGCAAAGTGGCTCCCTCTGGCCCCGTGGGGAGTTGGTACTAGCTGCATCCGCCCTAAGTAGGTTTCTCCGCCACAAGGTGGCTTGGGCTTCCTCATGTCATGGTGACTCTGTGCTAAGAACCAGTGTCCCAAGAGACAGACAGTGGAAATAGCCAGTTTCTTAAGGCTGGGGCTAGAAAGTGACCTGTCACTTCTGCCATATTCTGTTGTTCAAGGAGCCCAGATTCTAGAGAGGGAGACTCCCACCATGTAATGGGAGGAGCTTCAGAATCACGGGGCTGTGTTTTAAACCTGCTGCACTGAGGGCTTCAAAGGAGAGAGGCCCTACTGTGCACCAGCATTTGGACCCTGGTTTTACTGAGTTACCCAACATGACAGTGACTGGCTAATGTCACATCCATCACAGTTTGGTCTCTGCCTTGAGCCTGGGAGGTGGTCTGGGTTTGTGGATGGAGCTGCAAACCCTAAGATCATGTAACTAAATGAAGAGATTACGAAGCAGGGGGAAGGGAGTGATGGAATAGGAACAATTTAAGAGCTCAGGGACTATCTAGAGCAGTGGTTCTCAACCTTCCTAACGCCGCGACCCTTTAATACAGTTCCTCATGTTGTGGTGACCCCCAATTTCATTGTTACAAATTGAACATAATCAAAGCATAGTGATGAATCACAAAAACAATATGTAATTATATATGTGTTTTCCGATGGTCTTAGGCGACCCCTGTGAAAGAGTCGTTTGACCCCCAAAGGGGTCGCGACCCACAGGTCGAGAACCGCTGATCTAGAGCAAATGGCCCTAGCAAGCTCCCCCCAACTGATCCCAAGTGAAAATGGGGACCCAGTATGAGCGAGTTTCTCAAGAGAAGCCAGAAATCTTGGTTTTATATGGACACTCGCAGTTCTTAAGTGTTGGCTCCAGTGTTTGCATACCACTATACAGGGCAAATAAGCACCTCGTTAGACTGGGTCCAAACCAAGGCAGCCAGTTGTAGTTATTCTCTGAAAAATCACCTCTTTTCCTCACACTGAAATAGGTGCCTGTAGACTTTGCTTTGCAGACTGGCCTGTCCCTTCTTGTTGAATCCAGGTGTATTTCTCTTTCTCCCATTTCCTGAACCGCGACACTGGTTCTATTTCAAACATTTATCTTCACTTTTAAATTACTGTGATTCCTCTGGGTTTTATGGCATAAGGCCCAGCTGAAATGAGCCTCATAAATACATAAAAATATATAAAATGAGAATTGTCTATCCAGCGACTAATCTTCCAAGCAGAGGCAAAGATCCTCGCCAGCAGACAATAAAGAGTGATGGCTTCATTTAGTTTCATTCCGCTACCTCCTCGGGGAGAGGATGAGCTGTTATTTATGGGTGTTGTTATTTCAAGTATTTTTTTATTATTGACACTTACGTGCAAGCAAATGCAGAGACATGTAGGACAAACTGCCTGACTTTCTGTGGCTGCCCCGCCTGAATGTGGGGAAAATAGGAGAGGAGAGCTCAGCCAGTGTGGCTCAGTGGTTGAGCATCAAACTATGAACCAGGAGGTCACGTTTTGATTCCCAGTCAGGGCACATGCCTGGGTTGCAGGCTCAATCGCCAGTAGGGAGGGGAGGCCGGGGGGAGGGGGAACATGCAGGAGGCAGCTAATCAATGGTTTTCTCTCACCATTGATGTTCCTATCTCTCTCTCACTTCCTCTCTGAAATCAATAAAAATATATTTTTTAACAAAGGACAGGAGGCAAGAATGCATGCCTGTGGGCATGTCCTTAGTCTTGCTGGGCTTCAGTTGCTGCATCTATAAAATGGGCAAAACACTGTTACCCAGCAAGCATTCACTGCCCGATGCACATAGAAGCCAATACTATGGCACAGGTTTGAGAAAAGAAAAAGCTCTGGTTATAAGGAAATCAAATGGCAAGGAGACAGGAGGCAAAGTTCAACTCTGTCTCCCCGATGGAGGAGTCGGAGCAAGATTTAAGGGGTTTCAGCACTGAATCTCCTGGACAGCAGCCCCTTTGCTTCTGGAAGGGTCCCTGGTGCTGTGGTTCTGGTCAAGCCTTGGTCCTTTGGCTCTGAGGTGGAGTGGGGAGTTAAGGGCCCACAGGTGTTACTCTTGAGTGGCGTATTCAAGGTTTAAACTTGGGTTCTGGGTTTTTTCAGAAACAGGACAGGACCACTTTGAGCTGGTTCTGTGGTTACAACATCGGCGCCGACTCTATGGGGTTTGTGTAAGACAAATGGAACCTACACAGGTGAAGCTGTTAGCAGTTGTGTCTGCTGTTGCCTGTTGACGTTGTTAGTTCCCAGTGACTCCAGGGTGTCTCCAGGGTTGCTGCTGGCTCCCTTCTCCCTTCCTTCTTTTGTTTGTTCTCCTTCAGGGGCCATTGATGTCCTGGGGAGCACCCATGTCATAGCCGTCCCACCCAGTTAGGTACCTTAGGCTTCCATCTAAGAGACACGGCCGCTGTGCCCCCTTCACGGATGAGCTCCTGGGTTGCAGGACTGTCCCGTTTGTTCCGGCCTTGAAATAAGTCAGGGCTTGAGTTTCTTTCTGATGACTTGTTCATATTGTTGGCTTAATAGTGAAAAAAGTTTAAGCCTTTTTCATGATGTTATTGCCTGGATCCATTAAAGCAGTGGAAAGATCGCAACTACATAAGTTGCTATCATCTTAACATACTCCTTAAACCAGCGGTCACCAGCCTTTCGCTCCTCATGGACCAGCAGTGGTCCGAGGACCGCTGGTTGGCGACCGCTGCCTTAGACTAAAATGATTTTATAACTTTAGGAATGAATAATATTTTAAATCAGTGGGAATCCTCATGTCCACCAACTTTGGTCCACACTAGATGACTATTTGGTTAACATTAAATAGGCTTTTTAGGGGAAAAAATACCTCATCCTTCTGGAAGCCTTTCTGTTGCTCCTTATAATACAACTAAACGCCACACCGGGCTCAAGACCCCAGGTGACAATTTATTATCCTGCTGACTGGGGGCCACATCAAACTAGCAGCGCCTTGGGTGTGCTGTGCTTTGCGTGGTTCCGGGTGGTTCTCATTCGGAGTGTGTCTCTGGGCAGCCTTCAAGGTCTCCGGCTAGCCTTCTCCTCCCATCGGGTCCTCTTTTTAAATTACTTTTTCCCATTTACAACCCAAAGCTTTTAAACTCTCTACAAATAAAGATCTAGTTAAATGAACTTGGCCAAACGGTGGCTCTGGGAAGATAGGAAACACGTCTTGTATTTCTCTCCCAGAGTCTAGCAGATATCTGGCAGCAGAGTGACTGTTGGAGGAATATGTTTAAATGGTTTAGTGGAATTGAATACATGCTCCTAACGCTCTGTCTGGCACATAGTAGGTGCTTAATAAACATTGTCGAGCGAATGAATAGGTTGTGGCTGACAGTGATAAGGCTGGCCACTTGGTTAAAATATGAAGGTTATTAGGAATTGTGAGTAAAATACCAGAGGACATGGAAGTGCGTGCCATCTTCCAGGTGAACTTTAAACAGAGTAATTTCTTTTCTTTCCTTGCTCTTAACAAGCCGAGAGGAATCTCTTCCTCAGCTAAGGGGGGCAGGGAGGTGCCCCAGGAAATGTGGCCAGCTCACCCCCGAGGCACACCTCAGGATCTAGCTTTAGAGTTTTAGTAATTCCTAGATTTGGAATGTGCTGCATTTCTAGGACTTGTATATTTTAAGTATAGTACCACGTGTGTACTTGTTCTGTTTTCTTCAATAAGAGATGGCTATTTCCGTCTTTAAAAACAAGCAAAACAAGCAAACCAAACTCTGTATTCCTCCAAGAAACAGCTGGAAAGTGTAACCACTTCTTTTCCTCTTGCCCAGGGTGGCTTCTGAGACTTGGATTACAGCGTCTCGTCTTGGTTTCAGGTAGCATCTTGAGCCAGTTTCTGCCGTTCTTGGGTTACTGCTTCTTTATTCATGATGCGTACCCTATGCCCTCGAGAGATGCCATTGCACAAAGCTACTCAAATCAAGTGAAAGCTTCAAATGTGCAACCTAATAGGGCCTGCCCCGCTAGCAGCGGGGAAACTTCTGCCCCTTTGGGGCTCAGCTGTCACACTCCGGGACCCCAGCCTTGACCTCAGCCGTTCCATGATGAAAGCAGCTGCCCTTTCCTGGCTGGAAATGGCCACTGCCTGCTGCCGGCTGGCCAGTTCTCTGAGTGACCAGCGGATGAAGCAGAGATCCTCAGGGACCAGGGGTCCAGAGGGAAGAAAGGAGATAAAGGCTGGGAGACAGGAATGACCTTGAGAGCAAGAGATCCCTCTGAGCTGCCAAATGTACAATCTTTCAAATACCCCTTAGATTCAAGTTAGAAGGACCCTGGAGCCATTAGCACCTCCACACATTGCTCTTCACTCCCCGCTCTGGGTGGACCTAAATATTCGAATGTGCTCATCTTGGCTCCTTCCTGGAAAACCAAGTCCCTCTGATGTGCATTTGCAATGTTGTCTTCTTAAAGACCCTGCTTTAATTTTAGTCCAATGTCCCTTGGACACATAAAGTGGCGCATGTTCGGAAGGGCCCCAAGCTGGGAACTCTAAGACCACTCTCTAAGCCCACTGGCCTTTCGCAGCCGCCTCCTCCCCACCCTGCACTGGTCACAGCACCGAGCCCACAGACCTGCCAGGTGCTTGCAGGTTTATGCAGCTGCTGCTGTGCGTCCCCCAGTCCCCACAGACCTGCCAGGTGCTTGCAGGTTTTTGCAG